ACAGCAACAAAAACACAAAGAAGTCTCTTATTATCTCTGGATTAATTAGCATTAATAAACCAGGGCACAAATATTTTTTACAGGACAGGGAAGCAGGTCATTAGCATTGATGAGATGATATAAATGATCTTCCTAAGACATTCAGAGCAGACCCGCTCCAAATGATACCCACAGCTTGCAATTACACCACCAGTTAAACAGTTTACACCTAACATCCAGTGGAGAATAGATGATATTTGCACACAAGACAGACTACTTTTTGCTCCTCAATTCTAATGCCATTTTTAAAAGAATAAATTGCTAATAATTAAACAAACACTGAAGCTAAAACATTTTACTACTATAACGATTCAAAATTAGGCACAAAAAAGCCGAAGTTTGTGAAGCCTTTTAAAATGGATTTTCTGTTGGAGTTACAGTATAAACAATGATTTGCATTGGTGATTATCTTAATTAAACTGCTGTTCACACAAGTAACGTTGATTTACTTTAAATGTTGCTCGGTGTCATCAGACCATTCGTTTAATTGTGCAAATTTCCTTTAGCTGAAATCTTCTCCCACCTTCAGTAGGTTGTGATCAGCACCTCTGCTGCAAGAAGGAAATCCAGAGCAAATTTACTACCGTACAAGCTTTACACAAGTTTCTTTGTGGAAGCATTATAGCACCTTCCAATACCTGAAGGGGCTACAAGAAAGCTGGGGAAGGACTTTTCATAAGGGCAGTTAATGACAAAACAAGGGGAAATGGCTTTAAGCTGAAAGAGGGGAGGTTTAGATGAGATATTAGGAAGAAGTTCTTCACTGTGAGGGTGGTCAGACACTTGAACAGGTTGCCCAAGGAAGCTGTGGATGCCCCCTCCCTGGAAGTGTTGAAGGCCAGGCTGGATGAGGCTTTGAGCAACCTGGTCTAGTGGAAGGTGTCCCTGCTGCTGACAGGGGGGTTGGGACTGGATGAGCTTTAAGGTCCCTTCCAATCCAAACCAGTCTGTGATTCTATGATTATGGAGCACAGTCCAACCCCTTACCTTACACTGCTACGTGACAAGGATTGCACTAGTAAGGCAGGGGTAGCCAAGCTTCTGACTTTAATAAAAACACACACTGATGGCTTCCCAGTCCTACAAAGGGACGTGTGCCACCCCTGCTCTACATGATGCTCTGAATACGTTAAGTAAAAAACCCATACAATTCCCCATCTTTTTTCACATTAGATTTCTCACTCAAAGGAGGAAAGCTGCCTCCTGATGACATAACGACCAGCTGGCTAATGTGGCACTGAAGGTCTTCACTAGGTCAGAAATTCAAGTCAAAAGAGTTACCATTGCTGAAAAAACCTGTAAGCTGGAAAAACCAGCAGGATAATTCTGAAATCAGCAGTGACAGATGTTTAGAAAAGAAATCAAGATTACTGGCCACCACTGCCCCCTGAATTCACTCTGCAGTAATACCAGAAGAAAGTAAGCCCTGGTTGATAATATTTAGCAGATTTACAGAGGAATTTAAAAATCCGCCTTTCCAAGAAAACAGCTCAGCCACAAATGATTGTGTTTGTTCCAGCATGTCATCAGCCTGGATGACTGCAATGATCTACTCAAGCCTTAACATCCATGAGAACAGTACTGCCACAAACAAAATCAAAGAGTTAGTGTTTTCCATGTTATCTTATTAAATGTTTTAATTTATGAGTGAAACTTGAGGTCTACATTAAGAATGCCTGAGGAAAGGAGGACTAGTCTAGGAACCAAAGCTAGGGCAAAAAAAAAGCTCTACATTTTGGCTCCTGCAAAATTTCATTAGGAAAAATAAAAACTGAAAAAAAAATATTAAAAATCAGAAACTCTCTTTTTCTAGCCATGCATTTTTAGCTGGATTTTTTTTTTAAAAGAGGAGCAAAATAGTAAAACAAACCCCACATCATGTAGTTGATTAACTACCACTTTTAATTTCAGAAAGGGCTACCCAGGCTCTACTTGGTGTCTGGCTCTACTTGGTGTCCAGAGCCAGACACCACTCACCCTCTGGGTTACAGAATGGCTTGAAAACAGCCCAACACAGCGACCCGCAGAGCCGCTTTCAGATTCTCCTCCTGACAGGCTCCGAGCTGGTGACACACATCTCCACCCTGCAGAGCTGCACGTGGCTCCACATCTCTCTATTCATTGTTACTTGGGAACTCTGCTGCCGTTGGACTCTGGCTACAACTGCAGTAACGTGGAGGATACGGAAGCTGCGAGGAAATTGATGCTGTGACATGAACCTTTACAGTGATGCCTTCAGGGTCTTGGTGTGCAGAACAGGTCTGCTGCATTCCAGGTATATGGGATTTTTCTGGCAGGACTCACATAACGTCAGGGAGAAGCAGGCGCTGTGCAGTACCCACCCTGCTCACCCCTCCCAAAAGCCTCACATATGCCCAAGTCACTTTTTATTCTGTTTAATTCCTTATATTCTTTGCATCACCAAGATTAACACAAAGCCTTCCCTCACCTCTGCAACACAAGAGATTTCCTCCTCTGTTGGAAAATGAGATTTTCCTCAAAAGTGATTAAAAAAAAAAATAATCTTTGCATGTATTTAAAGTTTCTGTTTAAACACGTTCTGTGCATAAAATATTAAGCACATACTGCAGTACTTAAACATCCAGGACATATTCTTAAAACAAAGAAAAGATCATACTGTAGAACAATAGCCACTAAGTGTATTTAAGTACATTCAACTTTTATCACTGCAGATTTTCAGTGACTAATTAATGTCAGTGCCAAGGTAGCTCCTAGTGATTGGTGCACATAAAGACTGAAATTGTGTTGGAAAAATTAGGAGATATATATGGCATGATAAACTAATCTTATTCAACTGAATTTATATTCCAATGTTATATGTCACACGAATGGAGGGAGGAAAAAAAATAATCAAAACTCCATAAAGATGAGGAAAAATTAAACTAAAAAGATTTCTGAGCTATTAATCTTTCCTGATAATGAAGTACTTCAGGATGACTTCTAAAACTCACTTTCATTTAGACGCTTCATTTATTTTAATCTGGGAGATAATTAGAGGGAAATCAAATCCATCTCCACAGCAGAATATTTACCTGAGATGCAGCTCAGACTTCTCAATATTTCCCCTGTGTGTTCAAATTCAGATATATATTGTTAAAACTTTACTTAAATTAATGTCCATCACCTAATTAGCATCAAAACTAGAGTCCACAATGTCTGCTGCTGGTTAGCTGTCAGAATAAGAATTCTTTCAGGTTGTTTTTTTTCTACTAATAGGCCAAATTTTGCTTTCCCTGCTGCCAGGCATAATTAGACAAGCAAAATTAAGGTAAACTACTGTCCAGCTTTCTATCTCCAGTCAATTATTTAGTTATTATCTTTGTTCTGCAAACAGAGGAATGATGCCATTTCTCTGCAGTTATGGGCAGGAGTGTGTGGAGAGGGGTAAATCTGAGCTGAACAGGTGGGGAGTTGTCACACACGAGTTCCTGTGTGTCCAGACAAAAAGTTATCTGAATATTGCCCTTTGCAGCAAGAAATAGGATTGACTTCTGCTGAAGACACACAAATATTCATCAGCGAGATGCTCTGTTAACCAGATTATCCTGGACAAAAGCTGCATCACTGATGAATTCTTGCTATGAAGAGCCAATGGTTTATCTCATCACCAACTAATCCTGTTATAAATTATTTAGTACTCAAAATGTATCAGGGAAGAATCCTCAGTTGAATGAGTGTTCCATACACACTGGTGTTCTCCAGGAATTTATTTGTAATTATCATTTGCTTTTTTTCCATATCTAATAAGTAGTTAATGAATGCCTGACATAACTTCAGTGTTAAAAAAAAAAGACATGACTACAAAATTACAGGTTAAAAATTATCTTTTTTCAGCTCCATGCACTGAAGTCATCTTAAAGGTGAAGGTTAAGTACAGGCAGCACACAGTACAGATTGCTTTGTAAGACATCTATATACTGACCACAGTGGCACTGCCTCTGAAAGAATAGTTTGGTCTTATAACAATATTACAATAATACAGAACTTGTAAGTATTATCAGTCATGTCTTGTTCATGGGACTGTCTGCAAAAGGACAGCAAGTTTGCCCTTGAAAGCATTAGAGAACATGAATAACATATTTAAGCTTGCCACTAAGTGACAAGAGAAGAACAAAATCGATATTCTAGTAGGAAGGCAGGCCTGTAAGCAAGAATTTTTAGGGACAAAAAGAAAAAAATTCTCCCTTTCATGTCTCCAAGGAACTGCTTAAAACAAGGCATTTCATCAAAAAAGAAGATACTATTTTTCTCAGCTTGCTCCCACCACAAGCATTTCTGCATAAGCTGCTTCAGGCAGTTCCTCTCATTTCCAAATCATAGATTTAACTATGTTTATTATCACAGATCAAGGAAGCAATTTCTAAATACAATATTCATACTTTTCAGCTCCATTGGGGCAATTCATTGAGAGTAATTGGTGACTTTCAAGCAAATTAATACACAAATTTACATCTCATGATTGTTTTGAATTAGGAAAAGAGGCTAAATTAAAGGTAAGATATTCCAGGGGAACTGATAAAGCCTGATTTACTATCAGTCTGTGGACCTTTTGAATCCCTTGAGCCAGAGCACTTGCATGGCTCCTTCTAGGCTTCTGCCTTTCCTGTGAGAAAGGAGCACGTGAAGAGGTCAGTGTGGAGCTCTGAGAATGTCATCTGGTGGATTTGCTGCTGCTAAACAGAAAGTATAATGAATTGTTTTTTTCCCTCACCTTCCCCTGGCAGATCCACAAATTCCAGTAGTCTTTTTTGTACCACACCACTAGTTAATACTCTACAAGCTTTCTGGAAAGAGTTAACACTGTGGATGTAAAAGGAATCACACAGAGAGTCAGGAACTCATTGTCCTGGATAAACTAACGTAATTGGGGAAAAAACATTTCACTTTTATAATTACTGCAAGGCACTGACACAAAAAGCAAAGAAAGTCAACACACTTACTGGATATCTTTTCTTTTTTTTTTCTGAGGGTCCACTAGACGAAGAGTGTCTCTGATAACAGCTACTTTCACTTCTTCATCAACAGGGCTTGGGACATTTTCAAATACTCCAGGAGAAAGCTTTAAATTACAAAGGGATACAATTATTCAGTAGAGAACTACGGATTATTTATTCCACATTTGCTCAAACTTCATGCATCAATTACAAAATACTTCTTAAAGAATACACAAATACCTTAATGTTTTCAGCATAATATTACAACAATTTTTGGCAAGTTTCTCTAGTAAACTGAAATATTCAAAATAAGATTGTTGCCAACATTACCATTTTTATTATATATACAAACATGAAAAAAATTATTAGCAATCCCTAAACACAATTAAATCAACTGCAGGGGATGATGAATAAATGTATTTATGACAAAAGATGATGGAGAGCTTTCACAATTCCAATAAGTCGTATTTCCAGTGTATAAGATTAGCAACGATTTCAAAGCAGAAAATTACAGAGAACCTTGCAGGTTTCATATTAGCAGACAGCTTTCATCTTTCAAACAAGGAAAAAGACCAGAAAAACAAACCTAAACAATTTCATTCCAGTATCAGTATCACGTTGAGAGGTCTTACCTCCTGCTCATGTTCTATTCTCATGCTGGGGTTTGCATTTACTTCTAGTAACATGGGCTTCAAGTTCTTCATCAGGAGAATGTCAAACCCTAAAATCTGTGCATAACAAGCAACGTGTTACTTCCATTCTGCTCCCTGCGTTCTTCAAGAAACCACAACAGTCATCCAAATGTCAACATTCAGGAGGAAGAAACATTGAGGGAGAAAAGAGAAATAACTGGGAAATGTGCTGTATTGCTGAAGAATTACTGAAACCATTTGTCTGTGATACTAACGGCCACTTCTACACTAGTCTGATCCCTAAACACTGCATGTGTCAACATGGAATCTTGGCACCTATGACAAGCGGGCCTTAAAATTGCCATCGTCATGGCTGCATTAGGAAGCTGCAAAGCTTCGTAGTTAGAACATTGACGAGATAGAAACTGAAGTGAATACTGCTACTAATGACTGATACCCATTGAAAATTCTCCATATATGTTTATGGCAAGTAGTAACAGCTCAGGAGACAGATTTGTAAGGCAAAACTTGGGTGAGGAGAACCTAAGCTCTGAGCTCATGCAATGCATTGCCCGGGTTACAATGGATCAGCTACATCCAACCAACGATCAGCAACATAACTAGAGAAAGCTTTTAGAAAAGGAATTAAACATCCAGAAAATTCATCTATCCATAGAAATAACTGCATTCCTGGCAGAAATTCCAACCTACCTGGAAGCAAGTTGGCCCAGGCTTTCCTGCTGGTATGTCAGACTGATAGTAAACTTTCAGTTCTGGTGTCAGTGCAATAATTGTTTTAATCACCAGTGAAATTATATCGGACCACAGCTTTTTGACATCAGCTCCTCTGGAAGACAGTCTGCACAGTATGCTTGAAAAAGTCCTCTTGCTGCCAGTGTTTACGTTGTCAGAATGGATGAAATTCCCGCTATGGATATTTAGTGAATAGTTAGTTAAGTGCATAAAAACTTGGTGCAAATTTTTTAGAGTGGGTTCTTGATAGGGCTCTGTACAAAATCTAGAAAGTCCATCTTTGGCTATATAAATCTCTAAGGGTTCTAAAGATTTCAGTAAGACATAAAGACGAATATCAAATTTCAGTTTGTCAACGAGCAGTGGTTTGCAAATGTATTCCTGGACCACAGCTGGCCGGCTCTGGATGCTTCCTGTCAGTCTGATGTCACTTGGGTCTTTAATGAGGTAGATTCCATCCCCCTGACACCCTCCATCAGGTTTTACAATAAAAGTGGGCTTCCAGGATGGATCACTGTCTTTCATCATACGAACCTGTAAGGAAAAGAATTACACTGAAAGACACTAATTGGGGAGGAAGAAGGGCTGATACTATGAAAGCCAACAACTTCCACTCATAAACAAAAATAACATGATCACATCACTATAGTAGTAAACACTGTGCAAAAAAGGTAGAAGATAAAGAGTGCTGACAAGCACAGAGACAAACAAAAAAGCATGAGTAGGAAGTTACTAGTGCAGATAAAAGGTCATTTTATTTAACAAGCTGTTGTAGAAATGATTCCAGGAACTTCTTTTGAATGTTATGTACCGATTTACAGGATGAAATGCTGTATATCCCATGAGGTCCTCTTTATTAGTCACTAATGTATATGAAACTGCGAAGCTAAACTTCCATGCTACATTTTGAACTACTTACAAAGATTATCATTAACCTAAGGAAAGGTACCTTATTTATTGAGATATAAACACAGTCAAACAATACCAAGAAAAGGAAAGATAAAGTAATAATCTGGCACTGATAATACCTTCTTCCACCACTGAGTATTTTTCACAATCAGATACTCTGTGTTCGTAAAACTAGGGAATACTGAGCCATGGACAGATATTACACAAATACCACAAATTTACTAAACAAAGCACAGATTTTATGCCTCAGTTGCTACCTACCACTCTACTCCAAAATTAAGGTCTTTCTAATTTATATCAGAACTCCCCTCAGGCCTGACATGCAATTACTACTTTTTTATCCAATGCAAGGTAAAGAAAATTGTATCACAATTTCAAGAACAATAGATTTGTATTAGGAAGATCTGTCCATAGCACGTGCCAATTCAGATGCTTCCTTGAGATGTACTTCGTTTGAAATCAGGAAAGTGAAGGAAGTTGGTGGAGAATTTGATGATTTCTAGTACCAAATCAAAACCTCTGGATGAATCTACAAAGCACTCCATGCCTGGCTGTTGTTTCCTCGGGCTAGTGCAGATGTCCAGGCTGTGTTCAGATGTTCACCAGTGCTGCACTGGTTTTGTGTGAGACACAGTGCGCTCTAGTGCGTGAGCCTGCAAACAGCCAACACCAACACAGCACGATGCATCTTCGTATGCAAAATGCTTAGAAAAGTTACCACCCGAGATACATCTCACTTCTTCACAGGGAATGTTTCCACTTTGCAGATTTCTTGAAAATGCTGTCAAAAGCTCTTTCCTGCTAACACCTTACATTGATAGAATCATTCCAGAAAACATTTCTTCTGAAGACACACACTGCCAGTTGAAGTTACTATGTATGGGGTGATGATGGGAGATGACCCACTAGAAAGGAAATAGCAGGTAAGAAATTTTGACACCTACTGATGCTCTATGAGCATGTGTATAAAAAGCATCAAGCCCCAGAAATAGCAAGAAAAAGGTCAATGGAAAAAAGAAGGAAAGGTTAGCAAACCAGTATCAGTTTCTTTCCATAGTTTGCAGTGCCTTGCCATGAAAGATCCCTGTTTGCTAAAGTAAACTTCAATACTTTGTGAGAATGTCACTGAAGGACTGTATGACCTATTTCTGTCTTGTTTACAGCAGCTTGGACCTCACTACTCGTGTATCTGGTTCTCTTGCTGCTTTGTAGATATCCATGAGTACAGTATAAGCCATTATACTCACATCTTCAAGCTTTTTCCACACTATGCCTGAGATTCTCGGGGTGTTTAAGGGAAATGGTTTACCAGAAACAGAAATGATGGTAGCAGTGATCGGGAAGTACCCGTGGTTTGTCAGAACCCAACTGTTCTCCAGAATCCCAATCGTGGCCTTAGTAATATGAAGCACAAAACTGAATTATAGAGAATTACAGGATTACAGAGAAGTGTCTGCATCCTCACACAGAAAGTGGAAAGAATAAGGAAAAAACTAAAAAGTTCTAAACCTCAGATCTAGATCCACATGTCTCAAATTCAAAAGGCAATTGAATGGGAACTTTTTGTTCAGTCCCACTGTCTTTTCTACATACTGACATCAGCAGCTTGATTTCTGGGGCATAAACAGGGCTTGGCACTATGACAGACAATAGCCTTTTATAGAAATTAGCTTATTGGAAGCAACAAGAAGTATTTTTGGAGTTTTATGCTTTTACAAAATCATGTGACTTACATAAAGAAGTAAAAATAAAAATTAAAAACAAAGTGTGTGTGGGGGGGGGAGGGAGTGGGCAGGATATGGCCAGTTTTCTTTTTTGAAAAATCAGTTATCTGTGAGAAAATTAGATAATCCCACCTGGAACAGACTGTTAATAGTTGGCAGTTCAAAATGTGATTATTGTAATAAGGTTGTTTTGGCCTTTGAATATGTTAAACTGATACTTTCATTTAGCAGGGAATATTTGGAGGCTAATGTCATTCCCAACTGGATACAGTGAGTCAGAATTAAACATGGCACCAATAACTAACTGCTGGATCCAGATCTGCACTTTTGTATACAGCACATATTCACCCAAAACTCCCTCTCTCAAAAAAAAACCAGAAAAAAACAATATAATTAGGGAACCTTTTTATGTCAGAGAAAAGACCAATTACACCACCTAAATTGCCTACAAAGCACACGTTCCTAAGAAGCAAACCTAACCTATGCAAGCTTCAATGCATTTTATTTGAGGATGAAAAAAATCACAAAGACAGTAACTAGGTCACTGTAAGGGTCTAACACACCTGCTGAATATCAGATCTTTCATATTACATGCATATCTCCCACTGCCCAAATTAATTTTATTTCATTTATTACTTGTATAGCAAATGTAAGAACTGCAGTGATTTGGATGCCTCAATTAGTAGAAGTGAAATTGAGAAAGAAAGAAAGAAAGGGAGTCAGGAAGGGCTTAGAGTTTTCTTAAATGAATTTTAAAAACTATTCATAAAATATGGCATGTTGTACAACATTAGCAAGGAAAGAATAGGAGCATGTTTAAGCCAGTGAGTTAATGTGTCTCAGCCTTCAGAAGCACAGGAGGAGAAAAGCAACGAGCTGAGGCACAGGCTGACTGAAGACCTGTCTCTCCAAACCCAGTCAGCTCCAGTGAATGTACTGATCCAACTGGTGCATACCAGGAACAAAAAGAAAACCCAAGGGAAGTGGGATTAATTAGCAACTAGTTTGGAGGTCAAGGACTGAGAAACCAGTGGAAAATGAACTGCTGCACTACCCTCTTGGGCAGCCCTTTAAGTTCAACAGGACCCTAGTGAGGCAGTCTCTATAGCTCCTCCAGCTCGACTGCTGTTCTCTGCGTGTAGAAAAAGTCCCCACGGGTGTAAATACAGTAGCACTGCATTCACAAGTGTTTAGGAGGCAAGAAATTGTTAGAGCACAAACTGTAATTTATCAAAATGCAACTATAAAATCCATGTCTCAATGGGGAGATGCTGAAGGACTGTAGCTCATGAAACTCCTAACAGCTGTGGCACAGACAGCCCTAAGAGAACGCAGCTAAAGAAAACCCGGGATGCAGGCTAACACCTTTATCAGCTACTCATGGATTTGGAAGAATAAAGAACTTCAAATCTCTTCTTTTTAAAATGGAGGCATGTCACAGCACAGACCACTCTTTTCTTGCATTCCCACATTTTACAGCACCAGAGCTGTGGCTGCTGTTCTCTCCATTCCTCCAGCAACACGCTGAAGAAGTCAGTGCTCTGTGGTTTTACACAGCCCTGTGGCTCAACAGCAACAACTGGAGACTGACCGTAAGATGCCTGAGGATACGAGCCAACAAAAACCAATCAGTTGCTACCATCAGCCCTGGCACTGCAGAATGAAAGGGAGAAAAGCAGCACATGGGAAAAGGCTGAGCACCGGTCAGATTATCATGATTTTCAGCCAACGTCCTCTGCTGTGACTGCATTAGGCTGCTGACCCAGAGGGGAGGCACAGCTCTGCCTGCAGCGATGTCCCAAGGCCTGAAGGACTTCTGGCTCCATCCTCTCTGTTTATTCACCCCACTGAGAATCACACTGCTAAAAGCCTTCCTCCTACTACAGCACAAATTCCAGATTAATTATTTAGACTAGGATTTTTCTAATGGACAAGTGTCACACAAACTCAATGAAAGATCCTTCTTCAAAATACGTCACTTTGAGGGATAAATCACCATAATGGAGATCAGGGTTATATAAACTGTGTGTGGATAAACAGGTCCAGGTAGATCAGCAGGCCAAGAAGGAAAGTGGGATTTGTGCCCTAGGCTTTTTATCCCTAAAGAATAACCTTCCCATGACATGACATCACTCCACATACTAGAGGAGTCTCTCTGGTTCCATGTTGTTAAATCAGCATCCCAGAAAGATACTTGGTTAGTCTTAAACCTCCACTACTAAATGTACCCAACTGAGAGTCCAGCTGTAGGAGCAAAGTGCCAACCATGCTCTACTAGGGCAGAAAGTAACAGAGAACTTCCGTAAAACCAGCCAGCCAACCTCCCTCCCGTTCCCATGTCTGTTGTTCAGGCCTCAGGCTACTTCTCCTCTGCTACAACAGCACCTTGCCAAAAAAGATATTGCTTTCTGGGGACTATTGTTATAGATGCAACAGCAAACTGCTTTTGAAGTCCTGCATTTTAACAATCATGGGTCTCACAGATCTCACACTTAACTCATTCCATTTAGCTGGAAAGGAAATAATGTTCTCCATCGTTTTCTAGTCCACTTTTTGATGGACTAGAAGGTCTGGATATTATTATTATTATCATTCAGGCCTTCTAGTCCATCAGAACTTACACATGGCAGATGAAGAGAGGATGGTGGGGAAAAGGGGAATAGTAATTCAGAGTCAGTCTGGTTTTCAGCAGCTCAACGGTCTTGAAGAAAGCAGACGGTTTCTTGATCTTCAAGGAAATTCCCAAGTCATCTTCAAATTCTCCACAACCCCCTCAACTATATTCTTTCAAATTCACATTATGAAGACATTGTCCAGACTCAGAAAAGTCAGTCATAGGAAAGTGAGTACATATGAAATATTTCTGTGTATTTATATTGACAGAAGGAAATTATCTTTACAAACAGGCTAACCATTTACAGCCAACAGCAAGAGGAGAGTGTGATGCCTAATGGTATGAAAATCTGATTCAGTGGTAGGTTTGTCTTTCATGAGGAAACTCAGGCTGAATGAATACAGTGTTCTGAAAAAAATAAATATAATAGGCTGTAAGATTTGACAGCACCAAGACTAGAATACTCATGTCTATGCCTAAGAGGTATCCAAAAGCTGAAAACCTGATTAAGCCACCAAAAATATGCTGTGCTGGAAATTAGACTGTCCAAATTAGATTCTTATTAAAAATTAATCATACTAGGCCTATTCATCATCCTCACAGACACCACAAAGAAGGCAGTACGAGAGCATCGAGGCCCTGGTTTGAATCCCAAGCTAGTTACTTTTCAGAAATTTGAATTTCCTATTAGAAATAACTTCTTATTACACAGATTCAACAGATTCTTCTCTGTTAGCGAAGGGATGATTACTGTAGCACCTGAGAGATTTGCTTATCTGTAACTCATCTTCTGTTACGGTGACATGTTAGTACAGAGTGTTTTAGAAGGTAAAAAATAGGTGAATATTGAAAATAGCTAAATATATATTTACTCAGTAAAATTAACTCAGTAAAAATACCTATCACCATTTCAGTTTAATGCAAATGACACTGAGGGAATTACCATTTTGTTGATATTTCCCAATATGAAGCTCATCTCCAACAAACTTAAGAGTGCAGCTCTCCCATCAATTACTGGCTGGTTAATATTAGATTAGGGGCAGTGTTTTTTACCTGGATTAAGGCACACAAGAAAGTGGGAAAAGCTGACAGCATTTAGTTATTGATACAAATGTATGATGAAAGTTCATGATCACATCTACAGAACTGAGGCTCAGTAAGAGTATTTGAAAGAGAAATTGTTTTGAACTGTTGTAGTGATTCAGGAGGAGGCAGCCACATGGAAATTCTCAGGGAGTTTCTTCTTTCAGTAGTAATTTCTATTACAAATAATAGAAACTGACAAAATAATTGACAAAAATCTCATAGGTGTTAATTGTTCAGTCCAGCCCTTTGCAACAAAACCCTATAGTACAAATAGCACCAAACCATCTTCTCCTGTCTAACCTACACCTACACTGACACAGAGTTAGTGACCTTCAGTAATTAACTATGCCTTAAAGGCACTTGAATACTAATAATAGCGAAGGTACAGGGAGATCAGGACTCATCCAGAACTACATACTCAGCAGCTGCAGCCCGGGGCAATGCAGCTTTACTTCCAGAAGCACCAGAGATGGCTAAATCCTCTTTTGCTCAGATAAATGTACACATGTAATCACCTGTTCAAGTGTATGCCAGTTCCTGCAGCGGTATGTGTAACATGCAGGCTCCACACATGCTGTATTGCACCTGTACGCGAAGAAGCTGAAAGTTCAGTCTGAGAGCACTGACATTTTCAGCAGCATTAGGGTCCCTTGGTTGCAAAGCAAATAAAACCACGTATGAACAAATAAACAACAGAAAAGACTGGAGAGCTCCTACTGAGAACTCATGAAACTGCAAGTCAAAAGTGTTCTGAACCATTTATGGTTCACAGTGGATTTGGGCTTTTTTTGTTCTGTATTTTTTCTTGTTTTGGAGAGGTTACATTACAAACTTGTGTGAAGAAGAACACAAACTCTTACAACATAAAATATAATGTTTGATAACAAGAACTATGCTTTTCTCAAACACAGATGGAAGAACATATGCAAAGGAAACTCCTACGAGTATGTTGCTGGACATCTGTTATTCTTGGAACAAAAAACAAATCGTTTTCACTCCAGTAACCATTCAACCAAAGTATTTATTTGCAGTGCCACCTGCTGACAGTGTGCCTGTCTGTGCATTTAACCTGATGTACAGACCGCCTCGCTACGTGCCGCTCAGCTATCGGTGCCTTGTAACCGAGACAGCCACGATTCCCAAAAGACTCATCCCTAGAACCCCAGAGCACCACTCTGAAAGTTTACTTCCAAGTTATTTGCACTTATCTACCAGTCATTGCTAAATTGATTGGATAATTTACACTCCTCCTACAAATTGGTCTTACATCTAAAGCAGTAAGGCTGAAGCACTGTTGGGATTTGATTCATTTTTACTGTTACTAGCAGTGCCATGGCAGTGACCCAGCACACTTGAAGAGTATGTATTAAAAGATGTTCATGGATTTAATTGGATTGTGGATATGGTACTTATCTAAAAAGTAACACACAGTACAGAAGTCTATTAAAGTCCATACCTTTTTCTCTCACTTTTCCAAGCAGAGGATACTGTAGAATACAAGAATGCACTGGGCGAGTCAGAGAGGGTTGAAACAAACACATACAATATTTTTAAAAATATTTGTAATAACAGAATCAAACACCAACAGACAGCATCACTTTTTTTCAGAAAAGCTGAAAAAGAATGGCATTTTATTACATTCTGAATATTTAAACAAAGCAACAGTCTGACAAGAGATTCAAACAAACAACTGTTCAGGAAAACGTGAGTATATTTGACAACACACAGTACAAAATGCTGTTTGGAAGGATTTAGATAGAACAAGCAGGATGGACTATAAGGACTTCAGCAACAATGAACATGGTGAAGTGCCACACCCCACGCAGTACTGTACTGGAACCTCCTCAGCCCTTTAAAACTCAGCAGAATATCACAGAATCACAGAATATTAGGGATTGGAAGGGACCTCAAAAGATCATCCAGTCCAATCCCCCTGCCAGAGCAGGAACCTCAATGAGATCACACAGGAAGGCATCCAGGCGGGTCTTGAATGTCTCCAGAGAAGGAGACTCCACGAAAGGGGTTATGGTTCTACCATGTTTAATTTTCAGACATCTCTCCTGGCATTGCAGAGAAACATAATTGGTTTTAAGTTTATTCTAGAACATAACAAACAAAAGCAGTTCATCCAGACCATGTCTGATCTCAGGCAAATTAAAAAAGATGGCATCCACAGCACCCAAGTGTGATTTTAAATAATCTGGTAGGTATCAAAAACTAAAGAGTGCCATGGCAACAATATCCAGCAAGTTATACTAGTCTGAGAGTAAAAATAATCTACCTCAGCCACAAAGAGGGGAAATTCCTCTGGTAGAATCCAGGATCGAGGGTAGAAGTTATATTCAAGAGGAAACAGATCTTGCATCGTTCGCACTGCCCGACTCAGGGTAATTTTACGTACCATCTCCGTCATGCCTGGGAAAAGAACAGACAGTGTCTAAAAGTGATGAAAAACCTGCACTGAAGTCCCATCCTAAAAGTAAATTGTTACATCATTACTCACCCCACTGGTAGGCACTCTACTCATTGCTTTCAATAAAGCTGAAAACCTTTTTAAGATTTAAAATCTGACAAAATACTTGTAGCATTCCCACGTCATATTTCATATTGTACCTATTACTGTATCATATTAGAAAAAAATTATTAAAATTACAGCTCAGAATAATATAGGGAAAGTTTTAGTCAAACAGTAACTACCATATTTGCCATAATCCAAAATTACTGCCCCACCCTGCTCTCATTCCAGGAATAGGTAAAAATGTCATTGAAAAATAATAATCCACTTTGTGTTTACTTTGCATTCATTTAAGTAACTACGTCAGAAAGAGCAGGTTATTTTGTGAGCAGCCCAACTTAGCTGCTTTCCTGCAGCTTTGAATCTCATGCTTGGATCATGCCATTTCCAGACCTGTGTGAGCTCTGCTAGAAGCTTTTCCCAAGGTCAGGGCATCCAAGGTTACCCTCATGTTGTTTATGTGCTTTCAGATATCACAGCCTGCAAGGTTGATGCTGCAGCTCCTTCCTCAGTGAGAACATCTGGGGCTTTCCTACACAGTCAGCAAATTTCCACAAAACCTACAGTGACTGCAAACCTCTGTTGAATGCAGTTGATTCTGACCAGGAGGTTCCAAAGGTACAAGGAGGACAGAAAGTGACAGGGAACACACACATTTGCTGGAGTCTTATTTCCATTGGGAACATGACTAAAAAGCTATTTTCATGGAAAAGTTTCTAAGACTTCCTGAGGACCAGCCCTTTCACATTCTTTGAATCTCTCAACTAAGTAGGAAAAGCATCAAGATTGCTTCTTCAAGAGAAAGAATTTAGTAAAACCCAATATCAAGTGTGCACAACCTTCCTGGAACTCAGGTCGAGTTCTGAACAGCTCTGGTTTTGATTATTGTGCAGGTCACTTGCTTACCAGATAGAAGGCAGAATACAGAGGGGGCAACATTCTTGTAACACAAACTGAAATCACCAGAACACCACACCATCGGATACTTGAATGTGAACTTCTCACAGACGGGAGAAAGTCAGGGTAAATAAAGCATAAAGTTCAATATCTGAGGGTTCTTATTCTCTCAGCATACTAACAGCAGCAATAAATCTGAAGTAAAGGGCTTAGATAAGTCAATACCTAAGCTCTTAGCTCTTATTTAGAGAGATCTCAAGAGGGATTAAACGAGAAAAAAGGGAGCTTAAAAAAGTTGAAGAGACATCATAAGATGAGGGCTGACATGAACACTTCAATATTAAAAAATCCATTTGAGGAACTCTGCTTCAAGCTTCTCCCTGAGACAGGCCAGAGCATGAAACAACAGAGACTCTTTCCACCTTGAATCAAACACAAATCCAAAGATGCAGCACTGTTATCAGTGCTACACAACAGCCAATAATTGCACACTTCACTTACATTATAGCCTAATGCTCTTCTTTTTCCTAAATTCATCCATATGAGGTTTTCATCAAAACCACTTTTACCTTCAAACCAAATTTCAGCTCAGGAATTGTTTGAGACAATCCATTTTGATATTCTTACCCCCTAAGCAGAAATCACCAACCAAAACCAGTTAGACTCAAAGATCTTAAACGTCTTTTCCAGCCTAAATGATTCTGCAACAAATGGTAACATGCTACAAATACTCTCAGCTGATCAGGAAGATAATTCACATTAAAAACCAATAAAACACAAAACCAGGGAAAGTAAGCGTGTTTTTAAAGCATTTGTTTAAACCAGAAACAGAAGTAAGGTACCTGGAAACTTGTTGACTTGACCTGAGAATATATCATTATCATGAAACGACACCCCATGCCAATAGATATCGCACGGCAAGCGTCTGCCAAAAGGGAACTGGAAAAGAGACAGGAGACAAGATTTGAAGCAATCTGGCAACACCAATTCACTCCTTACTTTTGTAAATGCTCACATTAAGCGTGAATCATTCAAGAACAGTCTTCTGGCTGTCAAAAGAAAACATGCTCTATATTTTGGTTGCAAAACTATGAATATTTTGATGGGTTCAAGACTCAATAATAAAGTTCAAGACGTTGATAAACCTATTAATAAACCAACTTTATCAAGATGTTGATAAACTTGTGAAAGGCTTCTAGAAACTAAAACCAAATGACTGAGAGGCGTGATCTGTACTGAGAGACTCTGAGCTTCTTACCAACCACAATTAAGGCACTACTCATTTGTAATTTAAAACACTATCACAGGGAATGAAATTTCATTAAGAAGCATTTAATCCCAGCACATGAAGGCACAGTAACAGCGAGTGCTACAGCAGGGAAGTAATAAACTCTGACAAGGTTTGGGGTTGGGTTTTTTTAACTCCACAGTTTTAAGGGGTGATAAGCAACCCTCGAGGGAAAGAAACGCTGGAAGTCACGGGGGAATTGGCATTACTGGCAGTTACTCAATCAACTCTTGTTCTTAAAAAGATCATTGTTTAATGCTGAGAGTCCCGTGCCCCCCAGTATTCATGTTCCCCCTCTGCAGCCTGGTAACCCACAGCCCTTGCCCAGACTGCATCCACACCCATGGTGGCCCTTCGCCCCCAACCGTGTGGCACCTCCATGTGCTCCCAGTCTCACGTGAGCACAAAACATTTCTGCTCCCTAAGAACTTTATTTCAGAGGATAGTTAGAAATATTGCTGTAAATTAATAGAAGTTGTACCTGCAAAGCACCTTTTAAACAAGCTGATTTACACCGGTGTCCGAGCTGCAATAAATTTAACATGGATATTCAAAGCACGATATTTAAGTGAGAGAACTGTATTATTCATTGATTTATTCAATTATCTGTATTAACTGATAGAGTATTAATTCCTTTCTGCTACTAATAGCCTATAATTAAAAGAAAAGCTTGCAATTCAATTAATCATTTGTTGAGCATATATATTTCAACTATTAAGAGCTAAGGCAATTATTTCAACAATATTAAGTATTCCAACAATTTAAGAGCTGCTTTTCCCATTCACACCAGATTTCACCATAAATTGGGAGACAGGATAGTTTTCTATCACCCAAAAGAACAACCTTTTTTTAAACAGCCTGTAAAGCTCTGAAACAGCGCTGACAATTACTGATAGCAACAGTTTCTAATAGCTGTAAAACAATTTAAAAAAACCAAGCTACCAGCAGTAAGAACAAAAGCCTCAGGAATTAGCAGTACCAACAAACCAAAGCAGAAAAAAAAAATCACTTAAAAAAAAATCAAACATTTGTAATCCATGTTATTATAAAAATAATAATCAGTTTTGTGTAAAAAAGATACTCTTATTTTCCACACTTGGGCTCTTAAACACAATCCCTTTTATCAATCCAAAAACCCATTTTATCTGCAGCTCCATGTAGATGCCACTAATAAACACCACATGGAATTCGTTCACAGGAATCTCTTCTATTATTAGGTGACCCCTTTTTCAAATAAATATGCTGTATTTCTGACCACAGCATTTTTAGGACACACTTGCATGAAATATCTGCCACCCTCATCAGCCAATGACTTCAGTATCACTTACATATTGAAAGAACCACAGTATCTTGCAGAAATTACTCATTCTTTCTCCAAATGCAATTTTTCTTGCTTTAAAACATTTCTTTAAGCACTGGGGTTTTTTTTCCAATATGGCAGAAAAAAAGAATCTCATAAAGCTTTTGAGTGAATTACTTTATTTGCTATTTTAATTAAAATTTCAGTTTCCTCAGTAAATAGCCTTGAAAAATTAATTTAAAATGCTAATTGAGCAATGCATGCTTTCTCTGTTTCCTTACTCATATGGGTGAGATAACCAATTTAAACAGCCAGTGGATTCTTCACTTCATTCATTATTATTCAGCCTGCAAAATCTAGTTTTGTACAAGTGAAAATTAATTCTGTTAGGCTCTGAAAGACAATCAGTGGCCTCAACCTCTCTCCACAGGTATATCCAGAATACAGATGCAGCATTAGGTCTCCAAGCAGCCTTCCCAGTAAAACCTGAACTATTTATTTATTTATTAACTGGAATTGAAATTAAAGGAATGAAATTTGCATTTATATAACACCTTTCATCTACAGAGGATATCAAGGCACTTTACAAACACTGCACAGAAATCATTGCACAACAGATGAAGAGTGAGCAGCTCTGGACTGGAAAATGGAAGCGCTGCAGCCCTCCATCAGCAATTCAGATGGCACAGCAACCTCCCTACTCCTGACACATCACAATTACTTGGATTTATCCAACAACGGGATCATTTTGCTGAACGAGCTGGGAAGGATTCTTTATCCTCTGCACTATACTTTTACATAAGAATAGTGTTTGGAAAGGAACAAACAAGTTTGATTATTTGGCTCTCTCTGGCAGTGCCAGGCAGATATAAATCAATCTTATTGTGGTTAGGAGAGGCCTTTCCACCACCTCCCCAGCTCCTGGTGCAGGGGAGCAGCTACAAAGAAAGGCAGACACCTGAAGCAGTCTGCTCTTCTCATAACAACTTCATAGAATCATAAAATCACAGAATGGTTTGGATTGGAAGGGACCTTTAAGCTCATCCAGTCCCAACCCCCCTGCCAGCAGCAGGGACACCTTCCACTAGACCAGGTTGCTCAAAGCCTCATCCAGCCTGGCCTTCAACACTTCCAGGGAGGAGCAGCCACAGCTTCTGTCTTCAGCTACCTTGTGTGGGCTGGAATAGCCTCAGATCTGCCCTGATGGGTGCCAAAGGCAGGGTGCTCACAGCCACGGGGGGACAGAGGTCGTACAGGTGACTGGAGCCTGGTCCTAGGATCAGTCACTGCAGAAACACGCAGGTTGCAATCAATTCACTAACTCTTTGAGGAATTTATTTTAAATCTTTTTTATTTGGAGTTGGGGGGCACCTGTCAGAACAACAACAACAACAAACCCAAAGCAAAAACCAAGAAAGAAACCCCACAGGAGCCACCGACAGAAGAGAATTGTTTTCACAACTTTGACACTCTTAATAATCAATCACAGTCAAATTGGTCTGACAGGTCATTTCTACCTTTTGATTGGAAGCCAATCATTTAAATTGTCTCATGGGTCACATCAGTCTGTTCCATCATGTTTAATGACAAGTTAAATGACTCTTGTCTTCTAGTCAGCTTTTCCTAGCATAAAATTTCAAACTGCTTCTCTGCCTCCGTGCAGCCACTGAACAGCGAGACGAATGAAACGCTTAATGCCGGGATATTTGATGCCCGAGACATCTGCTTCTTCCATTTTCCTGGTAATTGAAAGCTAGCCGAATAAATAATTTATTAAGTGATGAACAAACTCAGGATGCAAGCTCAATTTGTGCCCATTATTTCATTTGGCACATCATGTTCATTTAAAGAATCTGACACACTAAATCAGATAGTCCAATCTAGTGATGGGAGTAATTGCTTCACTGCCATGCACATTAAAATTCTGCAATGCTTTTTAAAAGGTCCACCCCTGAGTGTTACCCCAGACAGGGCTAGCATGGTTGATAATTTAATTTGCTCAAAATTCACACAGCTGAACAAAAAAAAAAAAGTTTGTTCAGTCTTTTGCTTCCGATAACAGAATCT